AGGGACTAAATAAACCTATCACACCCCCATCTTTATAATCTATAGGTATCAATTATTTAGGGGGATTAAGATATTTATGACAAAAATGCCCATGCCCTTGCTAGTCCCACTGATGTTTCTTTTGCTGCGAGCTGGAACAAGCTTTTTTTTAAGCATTGGAAGTTTGGAACTAATCAAATGGTGATTTGATTAATGAGATTCACACACTTTTTTTTTAATCTCCCAGTTAAGATTAATGAGGGTTTAATTAGCAGTAGCATCTAATTTTATGTTTAATTAGATGTTTTAGTTTCTTATGAATTTGTTTTGTTAAATGAATATCATTGTTTATTGTGTTGTGATAGGTATAAGGTAATATTCTATTTTTTTTAAAATAAGATCATGCCCAACTTTGAATTTTTCCTAAACAAACGCATTAATATAATATAGGCTGACTTGGAGGTAAAAAGGTCATTCTGATTATGATATTAGTCCGAACAGTCGTAATCCCTCTAAAAACAAACACTAATTAGTGTTGGAAAGAGGTGTAGATCAAACCTCATTTCAGATGAGAAGCGCCGGCGAGGAGCTCCGACGAGCTCGATGTCGACGCAGGCGAGGTCCAGGCGATCTTCGGCAGCACAGGCGAGCTCTGCGTTCGCACCCATCCCGAGCTCTGCGTTCGAATCCAGCCCTGCGTTCGACCCCCCTCTCCTTTCAGCTCGGCGTTCGACCCCCCCTGCCGACCTCTGCGTTTGTTTTGGCGAACCCGACCTTTGCGTCAGGGTTATCCGCTGGCGACAGGCTGTCGCCAGCCCTCCACATCCGCCTATATAAATGCCTAGGGTTTTGCTGCAGCAGAGCTTCCCCCTTTTCGATTTCTTCTCTCTGGCGGCGGCGGCGAACTGCCCAAAATCGCAGCAGCGATTTGTGATAAATCTCCAGTGTGTGGGGATTTAAGAGGAGAGAGAGAGAGAGAGATCATTAAAGAGGATTTATAGTGGGGTATTTATTTATTCTCAAGTGGGAATTGAAAGGGTTCATACACTTTGATTATTAACACTGTAGCTACAGTGTTTATTTGAGAAATCTCAGTTTTGAGATCTGCTCCTAAATTGTAATTTCTTGTTTGATTAATAAGAAATTATCTGTGTGGCTCCCGAGGACGTAGGCAGTTGCCGAACCTCGCAAATCTTGGTGTACCTTTTTCTATACTGCGTTTCTGTTGCATTAGGGGTTTCAGCGTTAAATTCCCAACAACTGGTATCAGAGCGTGAAACGATCTAGAGGAAGTCAGATTCAAGTGGGACCTGTTAGCCCTTATATTTTGATGATGTTTTACAACCACCATTATCGGTACTAATAGCTTATTGAGTAAAAATATAGAAAATTCATTTATCAAGCTCGTTAGTGCCATTAACGGAGGATGGATGGAATATACGCCACAACGAAGATATCCAAAGGAGGAGGAGACCAAGAGATGAAGCAACGTTATTTCAAGAACGACAAACTCAACTAAAAGCTTCATCCGATTCAAGCTATATCAAAGCTCAAGTATTGCTCTCTATATGAGGATATTAGCTTTCTTTTGTTTCCCTCTCTAGTGCTAGAATGTAGGCAAAGAGTTACTGATTTTACTTGAAGCTATTGGGAATCACACACACGATTTCATACTTAGGCTTTTAAGCGTTTTTCACAAAATACTACTTTTCATAAGTATGAGGACCTAACTGTAAAATTCCTTTTCTGAACAGTCTGTTTTTAGTATTAAAAATATTTTACAAAGTTTCAGATTTTTCAGAGGTCAAATAAATATTTTGCAAATATTTAAAGTTGGTCAAAAAAAACTGTTTTTCTGCAAAATGTCAGAAAGCGGTCGACCGGTCCGGTCGACCGCTCCCATCGCCTTTCCTCACTATTTTCCAGAGAGGTCGTCGGTCGACCGGTACGGTCGACCGAAATCTCGACTTTCAAATCGGTCGACTGCGCCGGTCGACCGACGGTGTCTCTGCTCGTTTTCTAAGTTTTCTCAAGTGTTTGCGGTCGACCGAATTTTCGGTCGGTCGACCGAAGTGTTTTTTGGTCGACCGAAAGTTCCTTTCGGTCAACCGATTTCCTCTTTTGTCAGCTGCGACTTTTTAAAACGGTCGTTTGCCTGTAACCTGGATTACTGTGCTTACACTTA